GTTATTACAATAGTTTTGAAACTAAGATAAAGTTAAAAATAAATTCAGTTTCAACTTTAGAGAGAGTTAATTAAACTCAGCAACGCCGTTGCGAATCGTTGAGAGAATTGTTTAAAACGATAAATATTTTAACGGTGCCCTGTCAATATATATATGAAAATATAATGTATGTAAGGAAAAATAGGCAATTGTTTGAAAAAAGAAGCGATAGACACAATTTTAATACTAGAGGCAAAAATAAGTTAGCTATACCGCAATTCAGACTGTCCAAAGTACAGAAATCCTTTATGGGGTTAGGTATTAAATGCTATAATAAAATACCAAATAGCATACTAGATCTCAATGAAAGTAAATTTAAAACATATATTAAGCGCGAATTATGTAATCAAGCTTACTACACACTGACAGATTATCTTGAAGATAAGAATGCTTGGCAGCATGTTGGTTCGGCTCCACTGGACAATACTCAAATGTAGTCAGTAGTTAAATTCCAATAGTAGGTAATATAATACATAATTTAATACTTTAATTCTAATGTAGACAATCTAGTTTCCTTATGGCATCGAGCATTTCTTTCTTTATTGAAACAAAGAGTTTCCTTTTTCTTGTATAGAAGCACTATTTCTATGGATTGTCAGTATGCGTATGTGAGCACCATGTTGGACTTAAGATCTTTATTATTTTTATTTTAGTAAGTTAGTAGTATAATGCGTCAAGCGTGTCTTTGCATTGTTCTTACATATGCGTACAGTATTGAAATATGTATCAGAGACATTGTAGAACATACTTTTTTAAAAGAGTAACGAATGGAGTTTCTTGCTCGTTCTTCTCCATTCGAATCTACGTTTTGGAATGAGCACCTAGCTTCACCTAGCTTCACTGACGGACTGACTGACAGACTATTATTTATTTTGTATTTGTTGACATTTCAAAAGTACCAAACTATGGTTTAATTGAAATAAATGCTTTGACTTTGACTTTGACTTTGACTTTGACAACTTATCAATATAGTAATTGTAATCAGAGTATTTGTTTAAAATCAAAATTTTATCAGTCTTCAAAGGTTCATTCTCTAAGGTTCATTGTTGAAAGCTTTAGTAAGCAATATAGGGTGTTGTGGCACTTACACTTGCTACGTTCTTTATAATATACTACGAAATACATTTTCAAGTTCATCATACTACTGAAATAATGCAGCACAAAGCAAAAATACACACATTATCAACGTTTGCTATTTAAACCCTTACTACACACGTTTGCTCTCTACTCTATTACAAACAGACAAATAATATGAGTGACATTGCGAAAAAACAAAACGCATTGTTGTCGCCAAGATATTGTGTACAGCACTACAATGTCACAACAAAGTATCCATTCTGGCAGGTGATAACAACAAATCTTTCATTAATTGTATTTAAAGTTCCTGCTCATTTGGCAGTTCTGAATAGCTCTTGGCTATTAACTATAAGCTATGCTGGTAGCAACATTTAGATTGATTTAGTGTCCCACCTAAAGATTAGCACGTGGACTGTTTTCTACGAACACAGTATTCATACATATATTTGCATGTAACTGTGTATGTCACTGAACACCTAAACGGCCGTGCTGATTATGATATCTTCGTGTGATGCGATCAAGACTTCATTAGAAGGAGTTATCAAACAGGTACGTTTAATTACATACCATTATTCGAACCCCTACCATAAAACTAAAAAACTATGTATACATACTATATAGTATTGTATACTATGTATGGAAAATTGAAGTCCTCTGTTTTCCGAGATTTTTCTACAGAGACTCATTTAAATTATTTATTTCAGAGAGACAAGTTCAACAAATCAAAAATTACGCAAAATCTGTGGCGCCATTCATGAGTTATAAATGGCGACTTTATTTACAATCATGTGGCTGAAAATATTTAAAAATGGGACTCACAGTTTAAAAATAATCAATATTTATTTTCCTTAACAAATATGAGTTGAGTTTGAGGTTACAAGTAAATATTTATGTCAAGGTTTTCCTTTAGACATTATTCCTGATTCCTGACGTGATGTTACTTTCTTGCGGTTCTGTGTCTATGGTCTATAAATAAAATACTATCAATGAGTGCATCTAGACCGCGGACGTTTCATACATAATTTATATTTTATTCATTCGGAACATTAACTCAAACATCTGAGGCTTGTAATAAAGAATTGATCATGTTGTCTCCTACAGATTTTTGTATAGACAAGCTTAATGCTGCTACTTTAATAATAAATTGTTTATTGAATTAATTCAAATAATTGTAATTTCATTAAGATTTTTATCAAAGTATCTTTATAAGTTAAGATTTTAATTTTTTCAATTATTTAAATTTTTCACCAAGATAATGTGTTGATAATTGTTGTTGCACAGGTTGGTTATAGCTCTATTTTGTTAGTCTTGATTTGTATTTGAAGTTAAATTTAAATGCCTAGCTTGTACCTCACACTAACTACTATTATTATACCTAAGCCACTAGCCACTGAACAAATTCCAAGGTCGTTTGCGAAGCCATCAAATATTTGCCAAATAGGTAAAAACGAAAAATGCTACGAAAACGTGGTCCCACGTGGTGGGCTTCAAATTATTTATAATTAAAGATATAAATAATATTCCATACTTAATTTTAGTGCAGGTTATTAACATAATAAATTTTTTTTGCAAATAATTAAAATACATGTAAAAATATTAGCGTTCATTGTTGGACATTTTTACAAGGTCATTGAGGTTCTTTACAGTCTCATATTGGCTTTAAAACATTTATTATTCTCATTCCAAAGATAGGATCAAAGGAGCGGATTACATTTCCACAATAAAGTCTTAAAGAGGCTAAACGTATGTATGAGAGTTGTTATATAACTTTATGTTTATGTATGCGAGCCGTGTGCGAGACACGTAGGTCTAATGTGCAAAAGGCAAACGTTGGTCAAAGGCATCGGAACCGGCTGCGTGAGTCATTGTGGAGGGACCAGCCAGCCCGACCGCCACACAAACCCTTCTACGGACAATATTGCACTCAATCCCATTTTTATTCACTGTTGCCATGTTGACTTCCAAACCTTTTTTACATTTTTTATCCACTTTTATTTGCAGTTTATCGAAAAAGATCAAAATACGATTAAGTTCTCGTTAAATTGTCCTTCGGTGCTAATACATTTAATTAAGTTATTTAAGGAAAACTTATTAAAAACTTGTCGCTAATTAGTTTAATCTCGAAAAGTACCTAAACGTCTGCATGTTACGTTTTGATTATAACAAAGGACACCTGAACTCAGAACTTCTTTGTTCTGGACAGATGAGTAATTGTTTGGCATTATGCGCTCGCGACAGGTCCCGACTTGAAGCTCGGAGGCAATCGGCCTCCTCCAGAGACCCCGCGATAACCTCCGATGATTTATAAAAGTTATTGCTTTTTGTTGCCTGCCTAGAAATAACCCACCCAAATGTTTGCGGTGTAAAATTACTTGGATTGATTTTAATTGTTATGATAGCCATCACAATTTTGTATTGTTAGTTTTTGAACTTTTGCTTGCAAAGGTAGGGTTATAATTTTTTTAAGTAATTTTATATTATAATTTTTAAGTTTATTTTTTTATTTTTAGTTTTACATGCCACTGTTACATTTATCCAATAGTAGAACCTACATGGCAAAACCAATTTTTTGAGTGGTATAATTTTCTTGACTGGTTGAGCTAACATAACCTAAAAATCTAGTAACTGGCCCAAATATGCATTGTTTTAGTCTTTATCCTATTTAATATTTTGAATTGTTAATTTATATCTGTATCCCTATTCGGAATTAGTCAATAAATTGTCGTTATCAGTGACAATGTCGCAAAGTTCAGCGCTCGGATCGCGGCGCGGGCGCAATCGTGGTTCTGACGTCACGTGTATGATAGGTGCTTTATCGTTCACATGTTACACGGTCGATTGTTTCTGTGGAAAAGTCATAGTTTTCACCCGAAGGTCTGCAATTGTTCGTGTTGTACCTGCATATTTATTACCATACACATAGGTAATATACGCATTTAAGGCTATAGTGAGCAAGGTAAGGCATGGCAAGTCTTAGCGAGCACGCTTAGTAAATTTGATGTGGCATTTGCATTCTTGCATACATCACTTTTTTGATAGGTACAATGAAAAGATTTTATATTACAAATATCATATTTTCATGTGTAAGAATATAATATTTTCATCTATAGCGTATTTATCATTTGACGTAATCATCATAGAGTACTTGAACTATTGAACGTCAATAAAATACCTAACTCATATGAGAGTCAAATTTCTTTCCACGATTCGTGGTCATACATATGTGAGTCAAATTACATTCATCGATAAATAGTCAGTACTCCGGCATCGCAAATAAAATATACTTATGGAATTATGTATGACGGAAGATTCGCTTACGTCAGAGGAAGCGCTTCTTTTAGTGGTTCTAGTAGGCGAGAGAGGTAGATAAAAAGAGAAGCGGAAATGCTCGTCGGTCTGTCAATGCGGCGACAATGTCGTGCTATTTGTGTTAAACGAGCGATTTATTTCAGTCGGTCGCGGCGTGAACGTCCGCGGCGGAATTTCGGCCGCGAGGAATCCGATTCCGTTAGCTTGCAGCGACCGCGAGGCCGAGAGAGTCGCCGGCTCCGGCGCGGAGACGGCGGCTGTGCTTGCTGATAGGCTTAGATACCTGTTGCCAGGCAGCGGAGACGCGAGGAGGCGCGAGGTGGCGCGCCCGCTGCAGCGACAGACGCCACTGCTAGCGCGCCGACACCCCCTCTATGACAATGCCACTATTCGTGCACGAGGAAAATTCGAGATGCGGCTGACTCATCACCTCGTTCACCGATGCCGCCACGCTACATGTTTCGCTCCATACGCTTTCCTTTCCACCAAATCGATGCTTATATCGAAATTTTACTACCATTTTGCCGAACATCATTCTGACGTCAGATTTGCAGGTGTAATTTTTTGCCTCTTACCTAAGGGGGAGGAGGGATTCAGCATCCACACGGGTCATGAAAGCATGGCGATCCGGCCGGTGTTCACTCACTGCAATGTGCACAGTAATATCCAATCGTAAATCACACTAAAACGACAGCGAATAGGAGCTCGCGTGCCTGGCGGCGCGCGCGCACTAACGTCGTTCAGCCTTGCGCGCGCTCACGGAACTGACTGCGGCGGCGCTCCATTTGGGTCACTGTCATACGGTGGTGGGTGGTGGGGGACACACGTTCGCCAGTTTGCCTCTGAAAAATTAGCGTCTTGCGAATATGTTTCATCGACGCGGGCGTTTTCCCTTCAACTCGTGCACCAATCGCTTGCGGTGGTGCCGCCACTAGCCGCTCACTCTTTTCGGCGCGCAACTTCGTAACTTGCGAACTCGCGACTTCATCGCCCGAATATCTATCAGCAACTGAATGATTGAATGTCTCCACACCTGTGAGCCGCCTCTTATTTGCCACTACCGACCGGAATAAAATTCAATTGAATTTTTGTATCGCGTTTGTCTTTCACCTCCTTGGAGCAACTTTCTATGACATTAAACAGTGTAACGCGTTAATTTAAGTTTATAATCATTCTTTTTTTTTTTTTTTTTTTTTATGCCATAAGCCGGTAAACGAGCAGACGGATCACCTGATGGTAAGCAATCGGCGTCGCCCATGGACATCTAGAACACCAGAGGCGTTACAAGTGCGTCACCGGCTTTTTGGGGATTAGGAGTTTGAGGATCGTTGGGGATTCAGGGATTGGGGAAATTGGGGAAGGGGAAGGTAATTGGGCCTCCGGTAACCTCACTCACACGACGAAACACAATGCAAGCGTTGCTTCACGTCGGTTTTCTGTGAGGCCGTGGTATCACTCCGGTCGAGCCGGCCCATTCGTGCCGAAGCATGGCTCTCCCACACTTAGTAGTAATTCGGAACCAGCTTTTGATTTTAATTTTAAGAGAGTATTATTTCTACCTTTGAGTACATTATGTCTGGCTTTTCAATATCTACCTACTTAAGCAAAGTAAACACATCATAAATTATAGTATAGATGTGTTGGCCTAAACACAGCTTTACAATGCCAAACTCAAGTTAGATAATCTTATATTAACTACAATTCCAACACGTATTGTTCGATCAATTTATGTAACTAACTTTGATGAGACGTTTAAAACATTTAAATACAATGTAGGAGAATTTAATGTATTACACACAACGACCTCTATTGATGAATGAAATAACCATAACCAAACAGGTCGAAGAAAGAATAATTGTCCATTCTCATTCATAAATTTGGCGCCAAAGCGTCTGCGTTGTCTATGGCGGTCGGAATCACTGGCTGGAGAAAGTTACCGACCAAACACTCAATCAAAATGAGTTATAGGCTTAGAATGGGAGCTATCGAGACAATTTGGTTTCACTCGAAACACAATAGATGCAATAACCTATAATAAAAGTCATACTTAGTACAAATATAAATTACATGTGCGAAATAAATTAAAGAAACCATTCGATTATTTTGAATTCTATTGTTGGTTGTCCATGTTCATGTTTCTGAGCGCATGTTGCTAATAAGTTCAAATTAAAAAGAGGATCGAATGGAGTTTCTTACTCGTTCTTCTCCATTCGAATCTATATTTTGGAATGAGCACCTAGCTTCACTGACGTACTGACTGACAGACTATTATTTATTTTGTATTTATTGACGTTTCAGAAGAACCAAATTATGGTTTAATTGAAATAAATGCTTTGACTTTGTAGATAAACCATAAGATATAACTTATAGGTGTTATAATTTTAATGATATCTATAAAAAATCAACACTCGTTCAATACACAATAAGGAATTCATGCGTTTGTATCAAAATAGTCGACTGTTTAGTTCATTTACATTATAATAAAAGCTGGCCATTGATGTGACATTACAAATGGATGCACGACACCCGTGCACACGCCTATACCATCACAGGGCTCGTACCACATTCCAATTCAAGAGAATACAGGGTTTGCACGCAAATAATTGATAAACAATAAAAAATAAAGAATTAAAATTAATTTTCGATGTACACAATAAAAAAAATTTAATGGATATTTTACTCATACGATTGTCGTGGTTATTTTTTAAAAAGTCAAAGTCAAAATCTTTTATTTCAATTAGGAAGGCACTTTTTAATGTCAACTAAAAATTCAAAGTGAAGCCATTTCCTCTTTCCAAACGGTAGATTCCTATGGAGAAGAACGACCAAGAAAGTCCATACTCCTTTTTAATCAGGTTTACAATACAATTCTTTAGTTACTTTTTAAATACTGTTGGGAACGTATTTTAAATTTACTTTTAAACTTTTCTTACCCATATCTCGGGTTAGGTGGAGATGGTGAAAGAATTCTTATTTTCTTTGCTTTAGTCATCCTCTTTCCGAAATGAAATCATAAATTAGTGTATTCAGGGTAATAGTTAATAGTATATAAGTATTCATTTTCACTACAAAACGTAATATATTTTTATTCAGTTTTTTTTTAAGTATTTTTTTTTAATAATTGAATAATGAATATCGAAATAGATAGGATACTTCAATTTTAATTTATAACAAAATATACCTAGATAAGTTGCAACCCTGAGATGGTCAATGGCACATTGATCACATTCCCTATTTATGACGTAGACTAATCAAAACTTCTGATTAACTTCTATGTGTAAGTTTCATTTAAATGTAAACGTGATGAATTTCAATATATTATTTAAGTTTCCGTTCAAATACATTTTTACTTAATTTTAAGTGACAAGAATTGCACAATTCCATGTATTAAAACATATTTATTTGAATAAATAATATAATAAAAACACTTATTTTAATAAATAGTATATAATATCTAGGCAACTGTCCATAATTATTTATAAATCTGTTATTTTTTTTATAGTAAATATAAATTACGAAGTGAACACAACAGCCTATTAATTAAAAATGCATAGATTATGAATAATTCATTCCTATAAAAGTCGGTAGATCTTGATTTAATTTGAAATTCCGATGAATAATGAAACGATTACGTGTTGGTATTTAGTGGATAAAAAACTGTTCGAAATTTACATCACGATAATTTAATAATAAGTCTTTATCCGATTTGCTGGTTTTGAATACAAATTATTTTGGGATAAGGTTTTTCTTTTGTTGCATACCATTTTCCAAAAATAGTATTTCTCTAGTATTTCTCTCTTTTCTAGATTAAATTGTTATAACAACAGAAAAATGTCAGTGACTTATGTACAGTCAACGGTAGACTACTGCTGTAACTATCTATGATAATCTCAACGATGTCTTTACCTAGTCGACGGTTAATCCTAAGCCCCAAAAAAATTAGAATTTCTCCTGAGTCACATACAAGAACGCAAATCTATAAAGATATTTGAATTAATAGTGTTGATATACTTTTTTAAGTAAACTATTCCTCTCACTGGTATTTTCTCCAGTGCCGTGAGTGCGTTTACAAACACAGAAGTTCACATACACAATATTGTCACGTCAAATATAATATGTAGGCAAGTTACAAGGGGAGGGATTAACGTAATTATAATAAGTTCTTTATCATTGACATTTCTTTGGATTCCACTGTTAGACGTTAATCTCTCCTCCTCCTCGCACCACAATAAAACGATTCCCGCGTTGCGTATCGGTAAATGACTGCATTTTTCGTTTATAAATAAAATTATTTATAATAAAAAAATTAAAAACTAAAAGCATAATTAAAATATTGCCTATTGCATTTCATATTATCATGAAAATATCTTTTAAAAGATCATAAGTATGAATTTCACATACATGCATATTTTAAAGTATACAAGTACCTATAGAATTAGAGTATTTAAAGATAGGTTAATATTACGTATTGCAATAACAAAAAAAAAACAAACCCATAATGCTACGCGCTCGTAGCAGCTACGAAGGTAGTGATTTTTAAGTGAATAATATATAAATGAAATATAAGTCATACTATGAAAAATGTGGACTGATCTTGACTAGTCATGACTTCTAGTAAAATTAAATTAACATTATATTTAAGAGCTTGTCGTAGCGATTGCGTAGCAGCTATGAAAATTAATAAATGAAAGTCCATTGAGATGGAACATCTTACCTTTCGTAAAATGAAATAAACATGGTATTTATATGATATATAGTATTAATTTTATCAGCAATTTTTTGACAAATGATATATCTTACGTAGTCTGTCGTAGTCTTTGCGTAGCAGCTCTACGAATAAAGCTTCTGCTAACTTTTTCACCTGCAGCACTGAAGTAAAAGTTAGCTTTTGGAATTATTGAACTATAATCTATATCTGTACTCTATTTACATTTCTTCAATTGTTTTTGCGTAGAAGAGTAACAAAAACATTTTGAATTTTAAATGTTAGACAGAATGTTAAATTACACACATTTTTCTAAATTTGCCATCTAATCTTGACAAGCAATTCTTAGTAAAATATACTTACATTACTTACATAGCATGGATGGGCTAAGCAATTTTTGAAAAATAGGATATCTGCATAGCACGTCGTAGCGTTTTCGTAGCAGCTACGAAAATTATTCAATTTCGGTCAATTAAGATGGAATATCATGAGTAGTCGCGACCCCTGACGCGAAGTAAACGTGTGAGTAGTTAAATAAAAAAAAGCAATATATTATATTGCTAAAAAGCAATATATTATATCGAATATATTTAAAGCATTGACTGCCAATATAAAACTGTGGAAGGCAATTATTCCGCTAACGTCGGTCATCGGTGACCCCCATGGCGTTTAACGTGTTAAGTTCTACATGGAATATCATTTTTATGTCTTATTTTTGACAAGTGGAATATCTGCGTAGTCTGTCGTAGTGTTTGCGTAGCAGCTCTACGAATATTAAAAACTAGCTTATTCTAGCGACTTCGCCCACAGTACTAAGATAAAAAGTTAGCCTCTATGTTTTCCAGACTCTATGTCTGTGCAAATTTCATATAGATTAGTTCTTTAGTATTTGCACGAAAATGTAACAAATATGGTCCTCTATACCTTTAATATGTCGCGGAGAATCTAATTGTCGCAGAGAACCTAACGGGTAACCGGACCTCCGGCTCGACGTGCAGGAGAAGGAACGGGGTGATTTTTACTCAGTAAGAGTCTGACACTCCCTCCCGCCTCACCCAGGCGGGAGCAGTCATTCGATGATTTTCCCCCCTTAAAAAAAACCTTTAATATTTATAATATTAGTACAGTCATAACAAGTATATTTCATAAAATAATTACATACATCTAAAAATAATTTATTATAAAATGTTGTCTTATCTAGACTAGTAAGATTAGGAAAAGAAATATACATGATATTTATAATTAAGTGCTACGCAAATTAAGAAAAATGAGATATCTGCGTAGCT